TCTCCGTCTCAAAACAACAACAACAACAACAACAACAACAACAAAAAACCGGCGTGGTGGCGCGTGTCTGTGGTCTCAAATACTTGGGAAGCTGAGGTGGGAAGATTCCTTAAGCCCCAGAATTTGAGGCTGCAGTGAGCCATGATAGCGCCACTGCACTCCAGCCTGGGCGACAAAGGAAGACCTTGTCACACACACAAGGCGAGACATACACACACACAGTCCCCCACAGGCCGGGAACGCAAACTCCCCGGTCCACACTCCCAACTTGCTCCCTTCCCTCCCGGGTCCCTGGGCGCACAGGGATGAGCCATGGAAGCTTTGTCGCCTGCACCAGGCTCCCACGGCTCGTGGTGCGGTGCGCTTCTGGTGTTCGCTGCCTACAGCCGACACGTCGAGCTTCGTGCCCCTAGAGTTGCGCGTCACAGCAGCCTCCGGCACTCCGCGATATCACCGTATCATCCACATCAATGAAGTAGGTAAGTGCTCTGGGAATGGAGGAGTGGTCAGAGGAGAGGAGTCTCGGTCCTCGCCCTCCTGACCGACCCCCATGCCTGCAGTGCTCCTGGACGCTCCCGTGGGGCTGGTGGCGCGGCTGGCTGACGAGAGCGGCCACATAGTGTTGCGCTGGCTCCCGCCGCCTGAGGCACCCATGACGTCCCACATCCGCTACGAGGTGGACGTCTCCGCCAGCAACGGCGCAGGGAGCGTGCAGAGGGTGAGGCCAGCCCCTACGGCCCGGCCCAGCCCCCAAAGCTCCACTGACTACTGCCCAGCCACGCCTCTCGAGGTCGCACCCGGTGCCGCCTCCAGGGCCGGTCCGTGACATCCCACATCCCATTACCCTGGTGCTGAAGACCGTTCCACGCCCACAGACACGCCCCCTTTCCTAATGTCCTCGCAAGCCTGCTGAACCCCAACCCCTTCTCCCTCTGGCCCGTAACCCTAGACCCCTTTAGCGCCCGGCTCCCTTTTCGCCTGCTAGCCCAGTTATTAAATTACCCGGGTCCCGCCCCTTGGTACCAGAGTCTCTCTCTTTGATTGGCCCCGAGTTTTCTTGGGCTCCTCCCCCTACTCTTATTGGTCCCATTGCGATTCTAGGGCACCGTTTTTCCTTCCCCTGATTGGCTCGGTTCCACCAGGGCCCGCCCCCCATGTGCTCTATTTTTGTCTGACTCGCCTCCCTCGCCCTGGTTCCGCCCCCAGGTGGAGATCCTGGAGGGCCGCACCGAATGTGTGCTGAGCAACCTGAGGGGCCGGACGCGCTACACCTTCGCCGTCCGCGCGCGTATGGCTGAGCCGAGCTTCGGCGGCTTCTGGAGCGCCTGGTCGGAGCCTGTGTCGCTGCTGACGCCTAGCGGTGAGGCCCCAGGCAGGGGTGTAGGAGGAGCCGGGGCGAACCACCGGGCAAGCCCACCGCCCTGACTTCCTCCCCGCCTCTCAGACCTGGACCCCCTCATCCTGACGCTCTCCCTCATCCTCGTGCTTATCGTGGTGCTGCTGACCGTGCTCGCCCTGCTGTCCCACCGCCGGTGAGCTCCCCATTCGGGCGCTGGGCCCAGACTCCTCCGCGCCAACGGTCCTCTTTCACTATGGAAACCTAGGCTCAGAGAGAGACACGCACTTGCCCAAGGTCATGCAGTAAGGAGTCACGTCAGTGGCAGGGCTGGGATGCATGCCAGACTAGACCAGAATGTTAACATTTTCTGCTCTTGGGGACTTTCACCTGATTTTCCTTCTACATCAGGGGCTGCCATTTCTTGGGTCCCTTTGCTAGGTCCTTTCCCCAATGTCATCACCTTTGTAAAATCAACTAGATGAATTTAGTGGAAGAATTTAAGCCCCTGAATGCCTCCCACCCCTGCAGTCAAGCTCCTCAGACACTATGATCAGACCAACCATTCTGAGGTATTTGTAATTCCAAGCACACACCAGGTGGTTTCACACCCCCAAGCTTTTGCCCATCCTGTTCCCTCTTGTCTGAAATACCCTTCCTGCCTTGTCCGCTAAGCAATCTTCTAGTTGTCTTTCATGGCCCTGTTCATTTACTTGGTTGGAAAATACATACTGAGTGCCAAACTTGTGCCAGGCACTGGAGAGAGAATGCAGAACAAGCCAGAGCCTGACCACAAGTCTCTGACCTTGTGGATCTCAAGTCAACAAACAAGGGACCCAAGAAATATTTGATGATAAATTATAATGAGTGATATCAAAGAAACAAACAGGATGTGGGGACATGACAGGATGATCAGGGAAGGCCTCCAGGAGGAGGTGACATCAGAGTGGAAACCTGAAGGCTGGAAGGAAGCAGCTGCTTGAAAAGTGGGGAGAAGAAATGGCAAGTGCAAAGGCCCTGAGGTGGGAATGAGATTGGAACATTCAGCCAGCTTCAAGAATTGCCACATGGCAGGGCCGCAGGGCCAGGTGCGGTGACTCACGCCTGTAATCCCAGCACTTTGGGATGCCGAGGCAGACGGATCACCTGAGGTTCGGAGTTTGCAACCAGCCTGACCAACATGGAGAAACCCCGTCTCTACTAAAAATACAAAATTAGCCAAGCGTGGTGGCACATTACGCCTGTAATTCCAGCTACTCGGGAGGCTGAGGCAGGAGAAACGCTTGAACCCGGGACGTGGAGGTTGTGGGTGAGCCGAGATTGCAGCATTGCACTCCAGCCTGGGCAACAAGAGTGAAACTCCGTCTCAAAAAAAAAAAAAAAAAATGAATTGCCACATGGCTGGAGCAGTATGTAAGGGGGTGTGGCAGACGTTGAGATGAGGGAGGTGACAGGGGTCATATAATCCAGGGCCTTCTGCAGGGTTGTGGGGAGGAGTTTGGATGTTTTTTTGTTGTTGTTGTTTTTGAGACAGAGTCACTCTTGTTGCCCAGGCTGGAGTGCAGTGCAGCAGTCTTGGCTCACTGCAATCTCCACCTCCCGGTTCAAGCGATTCTCCTGCCTCAACTGCCCAAGTAGCTGGGATCACAGGCGTGCATGCCCTGCTAATTTTGTAGTTTTAGTAGAGACGGGATTCTACCATGTTGACCAGGCTGGTGTCGAACTCCTGACCTCAGGTGATCTGCTCACATCAGCCTCTCAAAGCGCTGGGATTGTAGGCAGGAGCAACCGTGCCCAGCTTGGATTTTATTCTGAATGCCTTCTCTCATTACTCCAGAAGGTAACATAACAACATAATATTTATCTATGAAGTGACATCATGGACCTCCTGGAAAAGTCTGGGCCAGGGTTTTGGTTTTTTGATTTTTTTTTTTTTTTTT